TCTCCTCAATAACCTGACAGATAAGCCTGATGGTCTCATATAGCGGAACGTTTGTGAATAACGAATTTACATCCATTGTAACCATCTGTATTCGTTGAATATTTCTGTGGTTCAAATGTTTACACATCTCGAAGATATCTTTGACATTACGCCGAGCAATCGACTCTCTCATCGGTAAGAGAATTTTGGCTAACCACTTTGCCAATGCATGGTGCGGTGAATTGATCGTGCTTAGGATGGGTCGTAACGGAATGCCTTCCTCATGTACTTTCGGTAGGCCATACAACTGTGGTGTCTGTGTTCCCCTCGGACGTAAACATTTCGCCAGGTAATCTTGTATAAGGTTCGCCTGAGTAAGAGTTTTCAGTTCCGCACAAATTCTCTTCTCTGATTCACTTGGATCGTCTGCTGTATTGTCAAGCTTAAACTTCGTTTCTTCCTATAGGATATGCATAATCTTTTCTTTGTAGTGTGACTTATCCATCACTACTACACCGGAACCCTTGTCGGGGCGCAGCACAACGATATTTCGATTAGACTTTAGTTGTTTTGGTCCTTCAATGTGTGCATCGGTCAGTAGGGATTTCTGCTTTGTTCCTGTAGTTCGGTATTGATTCTCTATGTCCACTAGTTTTGCTTTAAACCAGCCCAGATCATCTTCATTTGTTGGCTTCATATTTGATAACTGATCAAAAAAGGACTCAAATGCCGCTTTGGATTCAATATGATTGCTCCTTCTTGGTGGAATACAATAATTTAGACCACATAATAAAGCTTCAAGTTGCAGTCGATTCAACAGATATGACGATACATTGTACACGTATTTTTCAGACTGTTCAGGAAAGGACGAGTTCATCAATTTATGATACAGTGACTTACTCAATCTGTTCATTTTATACCTGCACGTTTGACGAACCTTTTCACAGCAAAAACTGGTAAATTTGGTCAGTGGTATCACGGTTAGATGGTCCACTACGCCACTGCCCTCCTCCTATCACAGCACTGTCCTCAGTGCGGTTCCAACACTACTCTCAGCTGGTACCTCGCATTTCTCTGCTGCCACTAACCCTCCATGGGCCTCCTGCTGCTCCGAGGTTTATCTGGCTCAGGAGTATTAAAATGCACTACAAATACTCGCTGTTCCGGTCTGTTGATCGAGCGGATGTAGCACGTGCAGTCTGAAACGACCTCTTTTACCTCTTATGGCCCATTCTATTCTCGGAATAACTTCGCCGGCATTCCTGGGGTCGAGGTTCCCATCCGTGGCCAAACACGATCTCCTGGTCTTAATGGTGTACCAAATGCCTTCCGGTCGTAGTATTCTTTTTCTCGTCCAGTCTTGGTTTGCAGATGTCTCGCCATTTGGAAACCACTATGAAAGGTTTCCTGCAGTTGCACCCCGTAGTCGCTTGTTGTAAGGCTATCGTTTGGTGGATCTGGGTTCTCTATGTCGATAGAA